TTATTATTATCATCATCATCATTATTATTATTATTATTCACTGGGTTTACGGTGAGTCGACACGACAACCGTCATATTTCACCCGTGGCAAGTTGGACCAGTATTCTCAATCAAAAGTCAATATGCTTTATATGTGTTTATTCGGTTAAATTTTTTATTCGCATGGAATATGATTTATTTGGCTTTAAAAACCTTATGTATGCCTGAGCTCGAGTGTTTTATTTTGATTACGAAATGTTCTACTGCCAATCCTTTTTACGTACGCTAATTGTTTTGCTATATGTGTAGCATCAAAGTGAAATCAAGCGTTCTTTGCATGTGACGTCATAGTTGCTACCCAAATGTTGCCCTGAGGAGGATAGAGACCTCATGGGTGTAAACTTGGTAAAGTAAGTTCCGAATTGAGGATTAAGTTATCTTTTCCATGATCTCTGCTCAAAGGAATATGTATATTAATAAGGTCGTGAAAAATACGAGTTTACTCTTCCCTATAGGTGCAAAAGTGCATTCCCGCGCCAAACGCAGACACACACACACGCGCGCACGCACACACACACACACACACACACACACACACACACACACACACACACACACATACGCACACACACACGCTCATATATACACATACACACAAACACACACACGTACACAAGTACACTCTTCCAGCTAATTGATATTAATCGTAGAGTGTTGTGCGCCAAAAGTAGGAGGCCTATAATGTATATATCCGCTTTCGTTCCAAAGTTCCCACTATGTCCTTTTCCCCAAAAAAGTTTTCAGATGTTTATTGTTTGACTATTTTTGCTTAAAAGACAGTTTGAAAAAAAACACACCCTCTATTGAGTATGTTTGTTGGTTTGCTTGTTTGTTTATTTGTATATTATTGTATACATTGTGTATTACATTTAACGTCCATTTCGGAAAGGACCGAGCCAGGTGGGAAATTCGTGCAAAGTGCCTTTCCCAAGGACATAACATTGGACCGAGGTGAGACTCGAACCCCTGAACTCGCAATCTCACCATTACAAGTCTGGTAGCCTGACCACTAGGCAGTCGACGATACAGAAATAAAAAAGGAGGAGGAGAGACAAGAACGATTGATGTTTGGTAAGAATAAAAGAGCAACCATGTCAAAGCACCCGCCAACCACCCACATACCTTACTATGTAGGTAGTCCTTATTCGCTGAAGATGACGTTGAAATCCAGCAGCTCATCTGTGGACGCGCATGTGGCTGTGCAAAAATCATACCATAATAACATAATTATTATACCGATGGTTTGTCAGAAACAATAACAGGTTGTATCAAAAGTGAAACTCCTGGACTAATGTCTTTGGTGTAGCGGTTAGGCACTTTGGGTTTGCGCAGAGAAAAAACGAGCTCAATTCCCATGTGCCGTATTCTTTTGTCATCAAGTGTTTCTATCTGTCTGCTATGGCGTTGTATCCCTCTCCGTCCTGTTTGACACTGACATTAACGGGGACGGAGCAATCCACCTCCTAGATAATTTAAATTGTGTTGAGGATATAAAACACCTTCAATTGCGATTGCATGAGCCCTTGGAACGGAAGAATGCTTAAGGCACAAAATGGAAAGAAAGAAGGGCAAAAGGATAGAACGAAGGAAGAGACACAAAACTGTAGGTGTTTTGAAGCCCCCATCAACGCAATTCAGATCATTTAACCCTATCCGTACGCCATGGGGTCATTTTGTACTCCCGGGGTTGTATTCTTCACATTTTAGAATACTTCTAGTACGAAGATCTCTTTGAAACTTTCAGCATTTCTAAAAAAAATCGTTTTGACAGGCTGCTATGCAAAGCTTACGGATCGGATTAAGGAGTTAATTTCCTCTTTGGAAAGTGGTGGCCCACAGTTTCCCACGTCGTATGGATACGATAGTAAAACACAATTTAGATCCTTTAAGAGGCTGCCTTCCACCTTGCATGTCAGGGCCAACCCGGGCTGAAAGGAGAGATGAAACATTCCAGCAGAAAACCGAGGTACTCAATAAAAATCCTCCCACACAGGAATCGAACTCTGGTCTCCTGCCTACGTAGTGCAACAGCGAAGCACCAAACCGCTACAACACCACAGACGCCTAAGAAGCGAAAAAAGGCCAAGGCGACACAGAGAAACATGATAACACGTACTTTCTTGGCCTAGAGATTAAAGTGTTGGCCTCTCGTTCAAAGGTCCCGGGTTCGAATCCGGGAGCGACGGAAAAATTTATTTTCTTCTCTAAAATTGTCTCCTTTCACCTCCTTTCCTGCTCTCTAACAATGTTCTGTCGTCTGCTTTCGTCTCCACTTTCTAGCCCCCCCACCCCCTCACCTCCTTTGTCCCCTCCTCTGGGCTCCTGACTCTTTCTGCAGCCTTTCTATTGCTACTCCCTAGCTCTTTCTTACTGCTGTCTTTCAGCCACACCCCCGATATG